GCTGCTGCTGCTGCTGCTGCTGCTGCTGCTGCTGCTGCTGCTGCTGCTGCTGCTGCTGCTTTCCCTGGCGTTGCCCTTCTTCCTGTTACTGCTGCTGCTGCTGCTGCTGCTGCTGCTGCTGCAGCTCGAGCGTCTTCTCCGTGGACCTGCGGAAAGCCCTGCGGCTTCTGGTGGCTCCTGAAGATGGTTTGCTGCTGCAGCTGCACATGCGGCTGCTGCCTGCTGCTGCTGCTGCTGCTCTTGCGGGGGTAATGCGCAAAGCCTTTCGCTGCTACATCCGCTGCGTCTGGCTCACTAGGCCTAGGAGGTTCGTCGGGTCTGCTGCTGCTGCTGCTGCTGTTGCTGCTGCTGCTGCTTCCTGTGTTCTCGCTGCTCTTGCTGCTGCTGTTGTCGCTGTTGCTGCTCTGTTGCCTCTAGATTTGCGGGGCTGCTGCAGCAGTTGCTGCCTCCTGTGTCCTCGTATTTCGTTCTTATTTGCCAGTCTATTAGGGGCAAAGGGCTGCTGCAGCTGCTGCTGCTGCTGCTGCTGCTGCTGCTGCTGCTGCTGCTGTAATTGTCATGGAAAGTGTCTTGCAGTGCATTTGGTGTGTCTCTGCAGCAACCAAGGCGAAGATTTCGTCCGCCGTTTGCTGCTGCAGCTGCAGCAAGACAGCGCTTTGTTTTTTAGGGCTTTTTCAGGTTTTGTTGGGTCTCATGCAGCAGCAACGGAGCGGCAGCAGCAAGCAGCAGCAGCAGCAGCAGCAAGGACTCTGGGACACCATTTGCTGCTGCTCCACCTGCTGCAGCAGTTCTTGATGTCCCCAGCTGCTTCAGCCCAAGACCGCCTGCTGCAGTTGATTGGGTGTATAGCTAGCACTCACCTGGCTACAGCTGCACCGGCAGCAGCAGCAGCAGCAGGTGCTGCTGCTGCAGACGACGCAGCAGCAGCGGCTGCAGCAGCAGCCCCGGTGATTACCACCAAGTGCCGCGTTGCTGCTGGCTTTGCTGCTCTTCGAGCAGATCTCTCGCTGCAGCAGCGGCAGCAGCTGCTTGCTGCTGTGTGTGGCCATCTGCAGCAGAGTGCTGCCTGCACACTGAGGGAGCAGCAGCAGCAGCAGCAACAGGAACTATGCAAGCAGCAGCAGCAGCAAGAGCACGCTGGCCAGCAGCAGCAATCAGACGAGAGCAGCAGCTTCAGATGTGTCGTGTGGCGGCATGGCTTGCTGCCCCCAGGCTGCAGCACTGTTCTTGTGGCGCGACCGACAGCAGCACAGCAGCAGCAGCAGCAGCAGCAGCGGCAGCTGCAGCAGCTGCAGCAGCAGCAGCAGCAGCAAAACCTAGAGCAGCTTCCGCTTAACAAGATACACCATTTAGGCCACCCCTTCGCGCCTGAAGACTCCGTGAGCTGCCGAACGACAACAGCAACAGCAGAGGGAGCAGCAACAGCAGCAGCAGCAGCAAGAGCAGCAGCAGCAGCAGCAGCGTGGGAGCAGTCATGGACAGTTTTGGAGGTTGATCTGCCGCTGCAGCAGCAGCAGCAGCAGCGATCCAAGCGGAAGCCTCCAACGTGTCTGCTGCAGCAGGAAGTTGTCGAGATTCGCGGGGGCTGTCTCTGGCTGCTGTCACGCAGCAACAGCAAGACAGCAGCAGCAGCAGCAGCAGCAGCAGCAGAAACGCGTCTCCCTCTTGCTTCATTCTGCTGCATAAGAGCTCCTGCCCGTTCAGTTCCGTCACTCTCTCGCGCCAGCAGCAGGCAAAGCCTGGAAGAGCAGCAGCAGCAGCTGCGGCAGCAGCAGCAGCAGCAGCAGCAGCAGCAGCGGAACAAATGCTGCTGCTGCGACGTCTCTGAAGAGCAAATGCTGCTCGGTGAAGTCCCAAGGACTCAGCAGCTAATCCTCGTAAGGAAGCAGTGCAGCAACGTTGCTGCTGCACATCTGCTGCTGCAGAGTGCCGCGGCTGCTGCACTTGTTGCTGCAGCAGCAGCAGCAAGTGCAGCAGCCGCGGCATTGGCTGTGCGTGTCCCCGTCGTTGCTTGTTGCTGCCGACGCTGCAGCATTGTTTCGCTGCTGCTGCTGCTGCTGCTGCTGCTGCTGCTCTTTTTTTGCTCGACTTGCTGCTGCTGCTGGAGCCTCGACGGGGTGTACGTACACTTGAACGCCGCTGCGCTGCTGCTGCTGCTGTCGTTTTGCTGCTGCAGTCTTTCAGCGATGGAGTCCGGGCGCCGCTGCGGCTGCTGTTTGCTGCAGCAGCAGATCGAAAGGCCTGCTTGGAAGCAATAAAGCGGGCCCTTTGCGAACTGAAGCAGAAGCGCAGCAGCAGACGCAGCAGCAGCAGCAGCAGCAGCACACGCAGACGCAGCAGCAGCAGCAGCAGGCAGCCCTGCAGCAGCAGCCGACGCACCAAGAGGCGCCTTGTTGCTAAAGACACCAGAGATGAGCAAAGGGGAGCAATTTGCTTCTTTCCAGGGCCTCAGCTGCAGCAGCAGCTGGCTGCTGCTGCTGCTGCTGCAGCTGCTGCTGCTGCTGACGCTGGCAACGCTGATGATGAAGCCCCGAGGGCCAGCAGGCCCGCAACAGGTAAGAGTCAAGCAAGCAGCAGCAGCAGCAGCAGCAGCAACAGCAACAGCAGCAGCAGCAGCAGCAGCAAAAAGGCAGCCCGCGCAAATGTGGCGCCCTTCCTTCAGCCGCTTTTAGCTGCAAACGGGGAAAGAGCCAACCAGCTGTATCTGCTGCAGCAAGAGAACATCCCAGCAGCAGCTGCAGCAGCTGCAGCAGCTGCAGCAGCAGCAGAATCTGTAGTTCTCCCGCACGAAAACGCAGTAGCCTCCTATCCGCCAGCAGCAGCTGCAGCAACAGCAGCAGCAGCAAGCAGCAGGAGAAAGTCTGTGTGGCGGCGCCTAGTGGGCTTCCTTCGCAGTGACTCATGTGCTGCACGCAGCACAGCAGCAGCAGCAGCAGCAGCAGCAGCAACAGAAGCAGCAAATGCTGCTTTGGTCGCGCCTCACTGGCTTCTGCACGGAAGGGACGAAAGCTTTAGCAGCAGCAGCAGCAGCAGCAGCAGCAGCAGCAGCAGCAGCTCCTCGGAGTCCGAAGGGAATATACCTACTGCTGCGCCGCGCCAAAGAGCCCGCAGAAGCAGGAGGCCTTCCCGACGCCAAGCAGCAGCAGCAGCTGCTGCTGCTGCTGCAGTTTCTGCTGCTGCGAGGGCTGCTGCTGCAGAGATAATGCTATTTCCTGCTTGACTTTGGGCCCCTGTGGCCCCCAGCAGCAAAACCTGCTGCTGCTGCTGCTCGACTGGTGCTGCAGAAACAGCTCAGTGCTGCTGCTGCAGCAGCAAGCTGACCTAAATCCAGACTGGCAGCAGCAGCAGCAGCAAGTGCAGCGGATCTGTCCCTCCACCCTTAAGGTCTATGCACAGCAGCCGTGTAGCTGCTGCTGCTGCTGCTGCTGCTGTTGCTGCTGCTGCTGCTGCTTCTGAGGACAACCACAAAGCAGCAGCTGCTGCAAAAAAGCTGCTGCTTACCCAAGGGCGTTGCATGCGCGCCTGGGCCGCAGGCAGAATTGCCCTGAGCCCTGTGAAGAAAGAAGCAGCAGCAGCAGCAGCAGCAGCAACAGCAGCAGCAGCAGCAGCAGCAGATAAAAAAGCAAGTAAATGCATTATTTTCTTTTTCCCGAGCAGACACAAACTCCCCCTCTCCCCAAGCGCACCGCGTGCGCAGATTTGGGGCCCCTCGCGCTGTTTTCCGAAGGCGGAGAGTTTGCATATTAGGGTTTAGGGTTTAGGGTTTAGGGTTTAGGGTTTAGGGTTTAGGGTTCAGGGCTTAGGGTTTAGAGTTCGGGGGTTCATCTGCTGACCTAGGTAGGGTTTAGGGTTTGGGGTTCCTGTGGAGATTTAATTTTCAGGGTTTGGAGTTTTGTTGAAGGCTCTTTTGCGTAGGGTTTAGGGTTTAGGGTTTTAGGGTTTTAGGGTTTAGAGTTCAGGGTTTAATGCTTGGGGTTTAGGGTTTAAGGACTTTTTTCCAGCTTATTATTTAGGATTTCTCTGCAGCTGTAGGTGAGGTGTAGCGTTAAGGGTTTGACTGCAGGTGCAGGGTTTAGGGTTTAGGGTTTAGGGTTTAGGGTTTAGGGTTTAGGGTTTAGGGCTTAGGGTTTAGGGTTTAGAGTTTAGCCTTAAAAGTCCTCTGTGCAGCTTCTTTAAAGAAAATGCTCAGAGAGAAGTGACCTGTTCCTCCACTTGTATTCTTGTTATGTATAAATGTATATATATATATATATATTTATTTATTTATTTTTTATTTTCATTTATTTATTTATTTATTTATTCATTTTTATTTGTTTATTTATTATATAATATAAATATGTGCATTTTCATAATTTGTATATATGTGACGTATAATGTTTAGATATTATATATACTTATGTATTACATATATATATATATATATATTATGCATATTATATATATATATATATACATTATATACAATATATATATACATTATATATGCACATGTGCATTATATCTTATATACATATATTGTATATACATATATATATATATATATATATATTGTATATATAGATCTAGTTGTATCAATTCATGTTGTGCATATATCATATATATATATATATATATATATATATATATATATATATATATATATATATATATATATATATAT